GCATAGTAAATATTCAAAAGCATACCAAATTGTTTGGTAAAAGTTTGTTACTGGTTCGTAAACTGACTTTATGATGCAGTAAAAAAATACCGAGGGAGGTAAAAAAAAAGTCAATTGACTTATGCAATGGCTGCTGTTGCTACGACTGTATTCAAGAACAAACAAAACTATATATATATATATAATTTATTTTTATGGTCAATGTTATTTTAATGGTTGCAAATGTTGGCAAAAAAAATATTGTTCCTAAATATAAGATTAAAAATAATATACTCTGCAAGCAACTAATAATTCAGCGTATATTTTTGTTCCTCTTGATATTCCCTTACCTGATTTACATACGAAAAAATCTTATTACAGGGATATTTATATTTTATTTAGGAATGCAACCCCTTTATTCCCATTTAACCTCCTGTTTTCTTTGGGGGGGGGGTTATACAGGTAATTTTCATACCTCCTGTGAATATTTTTTCGAGTAACATATGTTGAAACAAATTTTTACTACTCAAAATCCGATATCACAAAACAATATTTCCAGTCGCCCACCATTTTCTGTTCAGTTGCTCATCCCCGACCCAACAGTTGAAATATCAACCGGTGGGCGATGCCACCCAGCTTGGGAAACCCTGGTCTAGAGCGTTCGTAACAATATGCAGAGTTGATGTCTGATATTTCACATTACTACAAATTAAGCGAACGCAGCCCCCCCCCCAAAAAAAACTTAATAGAATTATTAAAGTAAGTAATAATAATCTATTTAATTAGATTTACTAAAGGTGTAACTAATTATTTAAACAACTGAAAAGTTAGTTTGCTGAATTCATTATTATTATTATTATTAATTGCTTCACAGGACCAGTCCTTGTTAACTAGAAATTATGAAGCACACATACTAAAATTTTGTGTTTTGTGATAAATATCCAGAAACGATTGATCATCTTGTATCATGTTGCATGGTATTAGCACCCACTGAGTATAAAACCCGGCATAACAGAGTGGGCCTATATCTGCACTGTAAAATTTGCAATTTCTACGGGAAGGAATCTGAAAGAAAATGGTATGAACACCACCCAGACCCGGTTACGGAGATAGGACCTGTCACAATTCTATGGAACTACACAATACACACAGACAGAACAATCAAGGCCAACCGCCCAGACATTGTTATTAGAGACTACAAACAAAAAAAGTGCTTCTTCATTGATATGGCAGTCCCTGCAAACTGCAATTTATCATTGGAGAATTTCAAAAAGCTACAAGGACCTTGAAATCGAAATGTGGCACATAGGAACAACAATCCCTGCTGTAGTTGGAGCCCTTGGATTGGTTGGAAAAGATTCCAGTAGAATAATTGAAGGGATTCCTGGTAGTCCATGCCTTAAAGAAATACAAAAGTTGTTCTCACGAGTACAGCCCACTCATTACGAAGGGCTTCATCGATGTAAAATATGTCTGTGTGTTTCTTTTTCTTTTTTTTTAATTGGTCAGTGGAAAATTTCATGATGCCATTTTTACCTGAGGTACCCTGAAAGAAATGTTTACACACCAGAAATCAAAGGAAATAAAATAATGATAATAATATAAAAATTAGAAAATTATACAAATGTTTCTCTCATGGTCAGCTCTATGGAGCAATGTCCAAAGTAGGAATTTCAAGTGGACTTAACATTATATCAAAAGTTATCTTTCGAATCTTGCCGTCAATGTTTCACAGAACCTTTAGTGTAGTAAAACACCTTCTATGAGATCTTGACTTTTCTCTGTTCGTAGGACGGGTATTTAGCTAGTATAAAATGAATATAAGTTTTGTTTATGAATCTCTTAGGTGAAAAATTTATTAATAATAATATACTGTTTAACTATAACTTTGTATCTTACCTCGAATGTTACGTTTATACTAATACGATAAAAGAAATATTCTAATTGTTCGTAACACTTGCTGACACGGACCTTACTTGTGTCACCAAATATATGTGACTTCTACTGTGTCATGAACGCCTGACCTGAACTAAAGAAAGTAAATGGTGTATCCGTTAGGTTAGTGTTTTGCTACCGGAAATAAGGTGGAATTTATCTGTAATCTTTTTTTTTAATCAATTCACTCCAAGTAATGCGATAATGTCATTAAGATGGAAGTGATTGCAGGAAGTGAAAGATAATGAGAAAACTTTAGAAGGAACCGGAAATTCAATCCCAAACATGAAGCAAGTGCTAAACCTCTACTCCTGTTCGAAAGACTGGTGAGGAGTCTGAACGGGGCGATAGACGAACCTATCTACTCCGATTTAGGAAATAATAAATAGTAAATAAAATTACAGCGTTTAGGCGGAGAGGTTAGAAGTTTCGAGTTGAGATAGACTTTAGAAGGTATGGGAAACTCAATACCAAACAGGAAACAAGGGATGAACTGAAAACTTTATTTAATCTAAATCTGTCCTCTTTCCACTGCTCATGTCTACAGATATATCATCTAGTTCTTATTTTAGTTCATTGATCAGTTATTGCTGGCCCTGTTTCCCCTGAATCCAAGTACATTCTAACCAGCACAAGTGATAATGTTGAATGTTGAACATTCATCCTTCTACATTCAACACCATCATATGATAAGACACTAGAAGTGTTGAAACAAAATAGTTATTTTTGTAGTGATTTTATAACATATTTATCTAATAATTCTCAAATAATATATATATATATATATATATATATATATATATATATATATATATATATATATGTCTACTGGGTAAACTTCCCTTCTCCCTAATTTGTATGCAACCGCTCTTGGCCCGTAATTATTGACGCGTCAATGAGTCCAAAGAGGTATTTGAGACAGATGCCGTAAGGAATGGATGCATCTCTGTCACGTGGGAAAAGCATAGCCTTTTACAAAATGACGGGCTGTAATTGAAAGTATTGACACTTTTATAATATTCTGTTTCAGGGTCTGAGAGAGAGCATGTAATATATTTCTGTATATAGTTTGCGTGATTTTATCCGGTTAGTATGGACTAAATATAAAATATCATAGCTGAGACAAAATTATACACAAACACATAATGGCTTGTACTGATTTCTCTATAGCAGCGTAAAACAGGAGTGGGCGTTGGGTTTGTTAGACATTTTCATGACGGTCGTCTTCGAGTATAGAATCTAGAGGTTGGCAGTGAATATTTCGGAGACAGTAGGAAAGCGTAGTGCAGGTTCGCAGTGGATATCGCAGCAAAGTAGCAGAGCGTAGTTCTTCCGTCTGTCATGTTCGCCTGACAAGTTGGCTCTGGTCATTCCGGTAGGGTAAACAAAGATGGCCACCTTTATACACGACGGATACAGTGTTCTGCGGCTTCTGATTGGTTAATCTTCTATTGGTAGACTATAAAGGGAATTAAGTCATTTTGACTCGCTCACTAGTTATGTACATATATACACAAAAAACTGTAACAGGGTTAACTTTCTTTCCGCATCTATCTATCTATCTATCTATCTATCTATCTATCTATCTATCTAAATCTGGTAATATCTGTCTGCTGGGTTAACTTTACTTCTTCTTTCCTAATTGGCATGCCCCGCTCTTGCCAGAGTCATGTGATCATTACCCGTCTTTGAGTGATTCGTCAATGAGTCCAGATTGAGGTAGATGCAGTGAAGAATGGATGCTTTTCTGCCACGTGGGAAAAGCATAGCGATTTACAAAATGACGTGTTGTAAATGAGGGTAGTGACAAACTTTTATAATATTCGCTAAGCTTTCTTTTTCTTGGTCTAAGAGAGACATGTAACATATTTATTAATGAGTTTTCAGGTTTCCTTTGTAAAATATAAAACGTTTCATTTATTTTCTTCCGGCTTCTCCTTAGTTATTCATTTGTTTTTTGTTCCTTAATATGTTGGTAAACAAATGTTCCAACGGCATGTATTATTGAGGCCGCTTATCTCTATTTGGCTCTAGTAAATATTGGCATTAGTAGTACGGAGTGACATAATTTATCAGATCATCTCCGAATTTACATTGCACAGAAATTACCCACATCATTTAAAGACAATGAAATATAAAAGTTTATGGAATTTACAATAGGTTTTGAAACACAAAATTCACAATGATAGTTGGAGAAAGTATACACACACGTTCACACAAAACTATTTAAAAAATATTAAAACGAAAATAAGCTTAAAATTATTCTACTTATATATGCTATGCCCTTTGAGGATGTGTGCGATCATGACTCTCCACTGCTTTCTATTTTTGGTAGCTCTTAGCAATTTTTGTCTTTTTACTCTCCTCTGACTCCCTGTTCTGCAATCCACTTCCACAAACTCGTTACGTCCGCTTTTGTCTTCGGTATATCACGTGAAATTCGAATTTTCTAAACCCTTTTCCTCATTATTTGTCCAAGAAATTCCTGATTCTTATTATAAGCGTCGTTTTTGTTTTAATGTCCTTCAAACTCACATGCTCCGTCCATGGAATTCTTAGTATCCTTCTGTAGAACCAGTTCTGAGTATAACGATAAACTACATCCGGCAGTAAGATCATGTCACTGGGACATTCGAGGTTTTGAGGAACGTGGAACGACCTCTTAATTGCTGTTGTTCCTAGATCCACCCTGATCCTAGATGGTAGCCCGTGTTAGGGTCCCAGCTATGGGCAAATAGTTAACCCCTAAACATTATGAAAGTATAAAAATGTATTTTTATAGTGAAAATACCAGCAATACATTTTTATAGAAAGAATTACTTACAATACATATTTATAGTAAAAGTATCATCAATACATTTTTAAAGCAGAAGTACCAACAATAAATTTCATATCAAAATGACCAACAACACATTTTATCTGTAGTTGAAGCCAGAAAACTATGTTAAAAATATTTAGATTTTGGCATTAAATAACCTATAGAGATGTTGATACGCCGATAAACAAAACCAACCAACTTATGTAGAACCACATTTCTGGAACCTCAAATCTTCTCTTCATCTGTGAGAAAATTATCCAGAATCCACAGCGGTAAAGAAGGACTGATATTGCATAGAAGTCGCGATTCCTTTTCTTTGTTTCTAATGAAATTTGACTATTTCTTAATACTTTTCTTAGCTTTTGGAAGGCATTTTCCCTAAAAGAATGCATCTTCGGATTTCGGTGTCACTTTTTTTTTGTCTACTTTTAAAACCTTTTCCGGATATTTAAATTTTTGTACTTGCTTGATTTTGGTGTCTCCAAAGTTTAATTCGCACGTTGGACTGTTCCTTTTACTGACAATTATGCATTCAATTGATGTTCAGTCCTTTCTTCTCGCTTTCTTTGATACTTTCTATGGCAGTGTTAGATCAGGGGAGTGTGGTGTCCATGCCAACGGTCCACCGCAACCAACGATTTGGGAAACTTTGATCGAGACAAGCGCGAAAAGTACGGGTAAAATGAGGCGGGACACCATCCTGTTGGGAATACTCCGCTCGTCTGATTTGTAGGGGTATTTTATCAATGGCGAACTTTGTAAATAAGCATTTGCAGTCACAGTTGGAGTTGTAAATAAATATGGGTCAATTACATCCTGTGATTTCTGGTTATGGCGCATGACAAGGGATCACGTGTATAGCAATAAAAGTTAGAGACATCGAGGAACTGAAGGAGAGAATAAAAGGTGTAATATCAAACATTCCCTATGAAATGTGTGTCAAGGCACTTAATTGTACTGTTGATCGTTGGTTTTTGCGCATTAATTGTGCTGTTGGACAGGTGGAGACTGTTCGGTAAACTCTGAATAAATGATTCCTCTCATACGAGTGTTAGCATAATTTTGACTTACCCTGTTTTATGCAAAGATCAACGAAAGAAAAACAATACATTAAACAATATAAATAAGATAAAAATGCATATTGATTTCATATAAACTGAAAAATATTGATTTGAATATAAGCAAATTTTCATGGAGATGGGATTTTCGTCTCTGATTTAAAATGACGAGCAGCAATAATTTTCCTCCGAGTTTAACGTTACAAAGCTAAACAGATTTAATCCGAGAATACTTAAAGAAAGTCTATCGGAAATTTAGCAACAATAACTTTTTTTGTCGTTATTTGTCGAATATAACCGGCTTTGTGATGAAGTCTGGTAAATATTAAAAGATCTTTTCGTACATGTAGATATTGATAACGCCGGAGCTGTTACAGAAAAATTAGGTTAAAACATTTCGAGTAGTTCAATCAGTTTCAACTTCTTTTTTTTTTTTTTATATCTGCTTCAGATAATCTCTAAATTAAATACAAATTCGTTTCTTACAATCCATAAAAATATATCTAATAAAATTAAATATATATATATATATATATATATATATATATATATATATATATATAATTCGACCTCGTCAAGGTTAACTACGAGTGAAACTGTATTTTAATATCAGTGCCAAAGCAGATCAAATAGTTATCGTATTGACGTGAGATTTAGTCATATCACTCGTCCAATGGGGCAGTGAGTGCTGGACAATTTCCTTAAAGCTGAAGATGAGGTTAGAGGTAACAGATATTTGGTTCTACAGAAGGATGCTAAGAATAACATAGACAAAGGAGAGAGAGCCCCCACCACCAACAAAAATTACAACTGTCTCTTCCTAATGTTACGTAAAATGCCACTTTCTCTAAAACTTTGTTGTTCCTCACATGTTAGGTCTATGCCATTCTCGGCATCCTTCTGTAGAATGTAGAACCACATTTCTGTTTTTTAAAATCTCTTCTTCATCAGTTAGGAGGTTGTCCATCACTCACTGCTATATCGGGGGACTGATTCTACATAACAGTTTAATACACTTTTCTTTATTTCTATCTTTATTTTCAGTTTCTTAATACATTGTTCAGCTTTTGGAAGGCATCTTTCGCTATCTCAATGCCCCTTCAGATTTCAATATCGCACTTTCCTCTGTTAGAACACTTCCCAGATATTTAAATTATTGTACTTGTTTGATTTTAGTATCTCCAATTTGTAATTTGCATGTTGGGATGTTCCTTTTTATAACAACCATGTATTTTGTATTCTTGTAATTGATGTTTAGTCCTTTCTTCTCGCTTTCCTTCACTGCCTTCTCTTGGAGTTTTCATTCTGTCTTCTATAGACATTGTGTCATTTCCATATCTTATGTTGCTAAGATTGTGTGCATCACTAATGAATCCTTGTAGGATTTCTAACACTCACACAGTTAATATGGGAGTAAATAATGCGACGCAGACAATTTTTCCTACATGTCGTTATAATACTTACAGGGAATTCCTACATTATTTAATTGTTTGAAATCATGAAGAGAAATTGACATTGAACATTGGATGAAAAGCAGAAGGCATATAAAGCTAATATCACCCAGTTAAGGAAGTCTCATTAAGCTGCATTTCAGAAATTCTTTCGATGTTTCAAGGCAATGGACGTGTTTCGAATCGATCAAATATGGCCGCCCTCGAAAACTGCTTGACGAAAACTGATCAATACTGAAAAGGCTCAAATAAAACTACTGTATGACAAGTGATGCATTAGTGCATCTTGTCTAATTTGGCATCACTTTATACCACTTCGCAAGCATAGATGAACGTGTGCCATTCAGATTAAACACCATTAGATAAAAAATACTTTTGTAATTAAAACTAAGTATGGAGAACGATGTTCAAATTCTTGACATCTGGTCCTATACACAAATGAGATGAAGATGTAGCTGCATTCTGTTAAGCAAGAATTTCTCAGAATGTTAACAGGAGCGGGGAACGACCAATGTTAACCGAAAAAAAAAAACTGACTTTAGTCGGATAACAGTTTGATGCATTGGGATCCGTAAAAGGCGATAATTCAAATAAGTTGGTTAAAATTAACGCTAGTTTGAATCATGCCAAATGCATCCAGTTGCTGAAGGACAACGTTGGATGAATGCGAGATTATTCAGCATGAAGGAGCTTAATGCCACAGATCGCGTGCAACATTGCAAAATCAGGCTGATGGTGATGTCACTGTATGGAATGATTGGCTGGCTCAGAGGCCTGACTAAAATGACTTCAAGCAAATCTAGACAGAACTGAATAGAAAGGTTAGTCAGAAGAACTCACATAAACTTGAGGATTTTTAGAATGCTCTTCCACAGAGAATAGCAGGTAGGGTTTTATCATCTTTCAGTTGCGTTTCTGTGTTCGGGCAGAGTGCGGCTTAATTGTGGCTCTGTCCGCAGACGCCGCTGAAGAAGATAAATACTGAAAGGTACCCAAATCCCGAGGAACAGCTGCCCGAGGCTGCACCTCCCTTTACACTAAAGAAGTGAGAATCCCTAGTCATACTGATGTCAGCAAAACCGACGGTTGCGGGGCCTGCTCAATTTTTTGTCCTTGAACCGAGTATACGCGCTCGGGTCCCCAATCTTAAACCCCACCTTGTGTCATATCCCCCCTTAGTTGGGATATTAGAGGTAATAACCATTTTATACCTATGTAGATGGGGGGTATTTTGCACGCCCCCTTTCACGCGCCTTTAACTTAAGGGAAACCACAGAAACTAATAAAAATATAAT